TTTCACAGCACTTTCCCCTGTGCATGAATGCTCAATGGATTCTGCAGCCAAATTGAGAATATCAAAACAAAAGCCAAATGAACACTTCGCAGATTATGGAAATTATTAACACGCTCGAATATAATAGAATTGAGATATGTATGAGCAAACGCAGAAGACTAGTCATTAAACTGTACCTCGATGTTGTGTATTTTTAACATACTACATCAATGACATTTTCACAAGTCTGCTTTGAATGTTCATATCACAGCAAATAAAATCTAAACTGGATTAAGTTAAGCAACCAACAATAAAATAACAGTATAAATAACCATTGCTTCAAAAACATAGGCCATTTATCGAAAATACCATCACTCACTCTCTCTGTCGAAATACACATTACTATTAGGTTATTATGAGAATACCTCAAAGTATGCACAAAGACAGTACAACTGGAGTATCGGCCAACGTGCAGCGGAGGTGGATGCGCGGTGTACTGTCTGAGTGCATACTTTGGGGCATCCTTGTAATAACCTTATTATTATCAGAGGTACATTACTTGAGGTTTGCAACTCGCATAGTACTGTATGGTGACATCATGTCAAGTTCCCATTGAAGTCTCTTCTCGTAGATAGCGAGACTGAGGCTACGACCTTCTGACATGACATACATCAATGTTCAAGGTTTGTAATGAAAAAATAAAACTTTTCTTGCCACTATCGTAGTGAAAAATGTAATACATCGAAAATGTACAGAAAATATAGTTCTCGTAATCTGTCATATTGTGGGCAGCTACTTTGATCCGCCTGGACATCCCAGTATCCTAGTTAACTCGAGCATGCGCATTCGCATTTTTCTGAGTTGGAACGCTTATGCGAGAGCGAGATTGTGATGGGATCTTGGTATCATGTCACCGTTGTTGCAAACCCCAAGTAATGTACCTCTGTTATTATACATCTTTTCCTTTCAAGGTTACACCATGGGAATGCCGGAATTCAAAAAACTTTAGAACAGAATCAGCGAACTTCTTTGTGTGGATTCCAGTCAACCCTTATGGAAGCCATGTTTGTTTTTATTATTAGAGGATGTTTACGCGCGTAATCAATCCATATTTGGAATTCGCATTTCCAATATGGTAGAATGAAAATACAGCACACTGTAATCTTATGGTGTTATACAGTGACAGATGTATAATAATATTTAACAACAGCAGCAAAGAGCTACAATATTTTTTCTTTGGACGAGTACAAAACCTAAACAAGTGCTTTTGGTTAAATTATCAACTTATAATGTTAAACAAACAAAAATTGCACTGTGCAGTTTATGTTACATTTAATTTGCCATTAATTGTAAAGTTTTGTTTATGAAAGAAAGGGAGATTGTTCAATGAAGAGATTACTACTAATCAACATGATTGTACATTACACAGGATTGTGGAAAACGCAAGCCTTGTTCATTGTCGTAATGATCATCTCAAATCTCATCTGATCTTGCATCATTTTGCCAAACTGTTTTTGGCACTGACTGTTATCAACTACCACTGGATTGCTTCAGGTTATATCAGAATAACTCAGTTTTGTGCACAGTACTTGAAATAACCTGCAACCACACTTAAACCAAGAGATTACATTTGCCACTTTTGAGGACAATTTCAAGAAAACTATTTTTGAACGTCTTATAATCAGAATCACCTAAGTGTTTGTTTTTTTTTAGCCTTAGACAAAAGTTTTAGCTGCCTATCTATTAAAATATACAGATGCATATCAAAATATACACATATTTGTAAATATAGTTTTTCTCACATATATTATATGCTGACATAGGCAAGCTTTATAATATAGACTGCCAGTTTGATATCAGCACATTTATCACGTAGTGTTTTATTTAAGTTACAATCGTTTCAAGATTGTAAGAATAATCCATAAATCATAGGAAGTATATGATTAGTCAAGAGAGTTACCATACTCCCTAGCTGAAAACAGTTTTTCACATAATGGGTTGCCAATTGGAGTCTCTGTCTTGATCCAATAGCCCTGGAATGAGCGATGAACGGCACAGGCCCCAGAATTTGTCTGGTTTCAACTTTTTCTTCACTGATGTAAATTTCCAACCCATGTGACTGGCACAACCTCTACATTGTGTAATCGTCCAGGCATATCTACAAATCCAGAAGAAAACAAAATGAAAAAACAAACAATGCTGTAATATACCAGTAGTTAAAATATATTTGGTAAAATGTTTAACTAAATTAGGCAATACTTTAGAAGCAAAGACAAATATTTGACTCCTTGCTATTTTATGGAGTTAGTATTTTACCATTGCTTCCTATGGCGAGGTAGTATCTCAAAATTTTGTTTTGTTTGGTTATGTAGTGTTTTACAAGGCACTATTTGATCTCTGGAAGTAATAACAAATTTACAACACTTTTAGTGGGTTTTTGACAAGGAAATGTGTTTTTATTGTAGTCTATGGAAACTGCTGCCAAATTTAGCTAAATTGTAAATAGATTTAGACACAAAATACTGTCACTGGTATATGCGCTAAAATAGGTGCACATGTTAAGTAAACTCACAAATAGCATTCTACCTAGCCCTTGAGAAACAAGCAGCTGATCTCAAATTTACCCAGACAAACTTATTGTATTGTATTTATGCAACACACAAAATTGTGTGCACATCACATTGTGGTAAATCGATCATCTCGTTTGTGGTGCATGAGTGACACAACCACCTCTATCCTTCAACTGTTAGCCCAGCTATAACAATGATTTAAAACAAGTATTTGGAATTACACAGTCCCTGTTGTGTACCTAATGTTAAAGACCATAAGCATATTCTGATGTTTGACATAACGCGAGTTATACAAGTAGTTTTAGTATGTGGTGTAGAATGATGGTCTTACCCCGGAAACCAGCTGTTTTCTTCAGACGGTCTCCCCATGAGGTTAAGTCCTGATGCTCTGTACAGTGTGAAGGTTTCATGCACATAACCACCTGGGTTAACATAGGCTGCCATAGGACCATCCAATGAAATACTAGCAAATAAACAAAAACAAAAATGTTTCAGAGACATTACAGTAGATTATCAACTGCGCTACAGTGTAGGTAAAGCTGCATAGAGTTTGTTTCTTGAAAAAAAAAACATTAAAATAAAATTTTGACTAATAAATATTTATTTTATAGAAAAAAACATTTCAACTTCACTGTTAAAGAGGTTTTCTCACAGTGGTGAAACTCATGAGATCACAATGTGTTAATTTACATTACTCTGTGTTAACATTGGTACATTAAAATTGCAAACATGAACCATCTCTTTCTAAGGTCTATGCATGAACACAGACTTTGTTTATATTGTCTAGGAATGTCCTGAATTTAATGCGATATTAGTGAGAATACTATCACTAACATTTGATTAGTTGTTTGTTGTATGAAACCCAGATTTCCTGCGGATAGGGAATAGAACCAATATATCCTAATAATACTTGATGCCATTATTATGCACGAAAGAGGCCAGATATATCGACACTGGAATACAGTTCTTCAACATACAGCAAAATTCAATTCAATTGGATAATGTCATAGTTAGTCTTTTACATAGTACATACTACTTCATAGGTTAAATGCTACAAACAAGATATATCTGGGAATAAACCTTTAGGACTCATTGAGAATCACGAGTATAGTATACTTAAATACACTCACCTGAACACATCACGCTTGTTGGCAATCTGTTGACCACATTCTTTACAACAAAGTATAGTACACTGGAATAAACATACTGGCAGTCACTATAAAATGCTGGTAACACTTTGAAATACATGTAGTAACATGTAGTTTTGGTAACTGACTGAATTAATTTAAACAAATTTAAATTAAGCTAAAGTGTTAAAAATCTCATTGTGAACATCTATACTTTCTTTTAAATTAGCGACATCTTGAATTAGCGAAATTACAAGGAGGCTAAAATAATCTAGACAATATAGCAATTCCAAATTTTTGTATATCATGGGATATTTTATCAGGTTGCATGAGTAGGTGCTTTGTGATTGATGAAATTGTGTTCAATCATGGTTTGATTCAGTCAAAACTATCCCACAATTTACTATGATGTGGGATTGTGATATGGTCTATGTTTTACAGTATATTGTGCATGTCATGTCATCAACAGTTTAGTTAGTTATTACTTTTTGTGTAATGGCCTATTGAAGTACAACACAACTCTTGCACATAAATCAAAAAACATTCGCACATAAACCAAAAAGTGCATTTTTACTGAATCTTTAAAATTTGTTGACCATAGAAACATTTCTTATAGCTTATCTAATTTATTATAAATGCATCATCAGTCTTCCTACAAACCATCAGACAGAGTATCTTTTTCTAATTTCTCCAAGAAAATCAAATAGGTAAAAATT